TTTGTCTGGAACGTCTCACCATTGACTCTGCTAATTGCTTTCTAGATGAGAAAATAAACTAGAGGCTTTCAAAAGGTTTCAGCTTGTTCTCTGTCCTTACGTGTTGCTTCTGGCAAAGCTGGAAGATTCATTGGCCTGTGATGCTATTCATGAGCCTGCAATAAAGGATTCTTTCAGTCTTTCTCTCATCCTCTTTCAACAAGGCTCAGCATTTGTATATGCTCTTCAATCTTTCTTTGATTCATAAGTGATAGCAGAAGTCAACCGTGCCTCTTAACGGTATGCAAATGTTGAGGTAAAATCTAGGTCTTCCCATGATAATTATATTCCTGGCTGAGTTGAACATTCAGTGCAGGTTACAAATCAAGCCTGGTGTTACTGCCTACTTGCTGAGTGAGTGTCTGCTTTCAGAGTGTGACTTAAATTCCTGTTATATAATTTTATTTCCTACTTCATATTTCTTAAGTTGCAGGGGACTTACAATTTGGATGTTTCTTTTGGGGGAGAAGGACGCTGGAGAGGAAGTTTCATGTCTGCTTAAGCTGCTTCTAGGTTTGTGTTGCTTAGAAAAACTTGTTTGGATTCCATGGTCTGCTATACAGATGAATCTGCTTTGTCATCCCTTCTCATTGAACCGTTAGATGGCTGTTCTTGGACACGATTGTTTCAGTCACTTAGAACTAAGGCTTCTGGACAGTTTTAAGTACAGCTACCTTATTCCATATTATTTTTGTGCCAGCATAGCTTTTATTCTCTCCCCACTGCTTATCCTGATATGTGGATAGACAACAGACATACCTAAATTGCCATCTCTCTTGGTTTTTATTTTCTTTCTTAGGCTCTTCCCAAAATAGTTCCTTCATCCTAACAACTGCTAGAGTTCAAGTTCTGTAGCCTTACTAGAAAACTCCTAAAGGGAGAGATATGAATGCTGTGGAGTCATTGTCACAGTATTTGTTTATGTGGATTACTGTCAACCCTTTGCACCTTTTAACTATTAATATGCTTCATAAATAGTTTGGTTATGGGAGACTCTATATTGTCTTCTAGAATTGAAGGCTTTTCTTTCGTTTGGTTCTGAGGAATATTTTTGATTTGTTAGTAGTGAAGATACCTGCTGCTTCTATTGTTGTGAGGAAAAGTAATTGGATTTCTCTTTGCTTACACGTGGGGTTTATAATGCAAGTACCATAAATAAAACATCAGGATTGTCTCTCAGCTGTGTTATTGAGAAAGCATTCTGAAGCATAACATTATATAGAAACTTGAAATCTGATTCCCTCTTTCCTTGTGGAACTTAAAAAGCCCAGTATACTCTTGGAGCAGGTACTTGGCTTCAGGCCAAGAAACTAGGCGTGAAGCACTGGTTGCAGTGCATCTAAGCCTAGTAAAATCTGACTTCTCTAGATGCTTGGCCTCAAAAGTAAATCTAAACTTGGCTTGAAAAGATTACTCCTTGAAGTTACGAATTCCTCTGGATCTGGTATTTTTCATGTAGAAAGCATGCCTAAAGGCTCTGCTTTTGTATGACAACAATGTAAAAACCTGGAGCGACTTGACAAGAAAGTAAATGAATAATGAGACTGCTCAGGTAAGCTGTTGCTGATTGTAAGCAAGTGAGGGAAGCACCAGTACCTTATATCTGCTATGTAAATATAGCACATTTCATGTGTTTGTTAATTACATCTTACTGCTATTAATGCGTTAGTGTAGCCTGTGAACTTAATGTAAAAGATTTTGCAGTTGACAAATTAAGTCTTCATTCCAAGCTACTTGCAAAAGCCATTAAGTTTAGACTACGTGAAGGTAGTTATGTGAGGTTTCTAGTGTATATGCACACCCAGGAAAATACAAACCATACTCTTTTTCCCCTTTTCTTATCTGATGCGTGTAGTTTGAATTTCAAGAAATAAGAGCTGACTACAGATGCAAAATAAGGGCAGAGGGTAGTAGGAGTAAGCAAAAATTGTTAACCGTATACAGTTAATGTGCTGAATTGTTGCATACAGTTCTAACATAATGGAAACAAAACTTGTCTGAGTTAAATAAGCTTATGTTGGATTATGCAACAGATAAATATTAGCTTTTCAATATTTTAAGTACTGGGATTTCCTTTTAACTCCTCCTTTTATCCTCTTAATAGAGCTTACATAAGAGTAATATGAAATGTGCATGTGACAATTAGTTTTCCATTCCTACTTAATTGTAAAATATTTGCATTTCAGCTCAAATCAAAGACAAAATTAAAGAAAGGGAAAAGAAGCAAAAAGAGAAGAAGAAGCACAAAATAATGAATGAAATCAAGAAAGAAAATGGAGAGGTCAAATTATTGCAGAAAGGTAGGTTCAAACCATGGGGCGGTATTTCATTCTAGTGCTTTAAAATCTTTCTGATTGGATTGGATACTGAGATTTAATACAGTGTTTTTCATTTAACTGAGATGCTATTTTCCCTGATTAGTTGATATGAGGGTTGCAAATTAAACTTAACTACAAATGTTAATTTTTTTTTGTCAACTGTGTTAGGTACTGGAGATTAAAAATATAACTATCACCACAATGTTGCTTATACAGTAGTAGTAAAGACTAGTACTTCAAAGAATAATATTGGTGATACCTACATCTTCTCTGCAGTTACTGAAGAAGGTTATCATTTTATATGTTGTGGAGATGAAAAATGAATCCATGTCACATTTTATATCTAACATTAAGTGCACAAAACTGAAGGAGTTATAATTCAGGAACTTCGTCAAATACTAAAAAATTATGTGCAACAGGCAGTCTTAATTTTGGCTAATTTCTTCATTTACTGTAATGGAATGTAATTAAGATCATGTTCTCATACTTGCTTGCACATCCACTGAATCTTAGAATTGCAGTTGAGGTTGGAAGGGACCTAGTTCAATGCCGCTGCTCAGAGAAGGGTCAACTAGAGCAGGTTGCCCAGGACTATCAGACTCTGTATCTGCAAGGGTGGAGGTTCCACAATCTCTCTGGACAACCAGTATCAGTATTTGACCACTCTAGCAGTAAAAAAGTGTTGTCTTATGTTTAAAAGGAATTTCTTTTATTTCAATTTGTAGCGTTTACCTCTTGTCCTGCATCTGGGGAAGAGTAACGCCAAGTGCTGATACATATTGGGGGCTGACTAGCTGGAAAGCAGCTTTGCTTGGGGCTCTGACAGACAACAAGCTCACTGTGAGCCAGCAGTGCAGCTTCACGGCAAAAAAAGGCCAACAGTCTCCTGGGCCGCGCTAGCGAAGAGCGTTGCCAGCAGGTTGAGGGAGGTGATCCTTCTCCTCTACTCAGCACTGCTGAGGCTGCATCTGGAGTACTGTGTCCAGTTCTGGGCTCCCCAGCACAAGAAAGATGTGGACTTACTGGAGTAAGCCCATCACATGGCCAAAGATGGTGAAAGGACAGGAGCATCTAGTAGAGCCTGTTGCAGTAGGACAAGGGGTAATGGTTTTAAACTAAAAGAGGTTATATTTAGACTAGGTATAAGGAAGAAATTTTATGATGAGGGTGGTGATACACTGGAACAGGTTGCTCGGAGAGGTGGTAGATGCCCCACCCCTGGAAACATTCCAGATCAGGTTGGACGGGGCTCTGAGCAACCTGATCTAGTTGAAGATGTCTGTGCTCATTGCAGGGGGATTGGACTACATGACCTTTAAAAGGTTCCTTCCAACCCAAACCACTCTATGATTCTGTAATTCTGTTCTGTGATCTTTCCTATGAGGAAAGGCTGAGAAAGCTGGGACTGATCAGCCTGGAGGAGAAGAGGCTCAAGAGGGATCTCATCAATGTGTACAAACACCTGATGGAAGGGAATGAAGAAGATGGAGCCAGACTCTACTCAGCAGTGATCAGTGACAAGACAGGAGGCAGTGGACACAAAGTAAAACACATGAAATCCTGTCTGAATGTAAGAAAAAACTTTCTTACTGTGAGGGTGGCTGAGTACTGGCACAGGTTACCTACAGAGGTTGTAAAACCTGACTGGACGCAGTCCTGGGCAACCTGCTCTAGGCGACTGTGCTTGAGCAGGAGGATTGGACTAAATGAGCAAGAAGTCCCTTCCAACCTCAGTGCTTCAGTGAGTCTGGCTACATCTTTACACACCTCTCATCAGATGTTTGTACACAGTGATAAAATTCCTTTCCCACTCCCCACTTTCTTTTCTCCATGCTGAACAGTTTGCTGCTCTCAGCCTCCCCTTGTGTGAGTGATGCTCTGCTCCCTTAAATAATTTTCAGGGCCCTTTGCTGGACTTGCTCCAGTGTGCCCGGGACTGGCAAGCCCAGAGCTGGACACTGTACTCCAGATGTGTCTCACCAGTGATGAGCAGAGGGGAAGGATCGCCTCCCCCAACCTGCTGGCAGTGCTCTTCCTAATCCTGTCGCAGAGGCTGCTGGCCTGCTTTGCCACAAAGGCACACCGATGGCTGATGGCCAACCTGTATCCCACCAGGACCCCCAAGTCCTCCTCTGCCAGGCTGCTGTCCAGCCAGCTGGTCCTCAGCCTGCGCTGCTGCGCGGGGTTGTTCCTCCCAGGTGCAGGGCTTTGCACACCCCAGTGTTAACTTCATGAGCCTTCTGCTGGCCCATTTCTACAGCCTCTCAAGGTCCCTCTCACTGGCCGCGCAACCCTCTGGTGCATCAGCCACTCCTTCCAGTTTTGTATCACCTGCAAACTTGTGGAGGGCGTGCTCTGTCCCATGATGCCAGCCATTAATGAAGATGTTGAACGGTATTGGCGAAAGGTATCAGTGCGTGGGTTACTCCTGTAGTGACCGTCCTCTGGCTGGACTTTGTGCTGCTGATCACAATCCTTTGAGCACAGCAGTTAAGTCCGCTCTTGATCCACCTCACTCTTCACTTATCTAGGTCGTGCTGCATCAGTTTTTCTGTGAGGATGTTGCTTATTTAAGTAGACCAAATATTTTTTTTATCTGTTCTTTTCAGACTCTGCTTTTGAAGTTAGGAACACATTCCTGGTATATTTTTCTGTTATGTTGTCTGCTGTAGGATTTAATTTACAAAGAAAAAACTGAAACCCCCAAAACAAAACATTGTCTTCAGAATGTTTATACGAGGTCAGAGGCACAGACCCTGTAATTACTGCATTATGTATTATACTCTGTGCACAGCTCCAAGTAACTGTATTAGCAATTATGACAGCTTAAAGCCTATGTTGATCAGATCTCAAGGTATCAGCTTAGACCATGAGGAATATGTAAGCTGGTGACTTCCTGTGAAAAGAACAGATGTGGCTTGTCTTTGAGCGTGAAAGGAAGTTGGTGGTTGAGATACTGGGCAACACTTAACTGCCTCAACAGTGAGGTTCTTCAGGTTTTGTTTGCATACCAGGCTTTTTTTACCCTGTGTCCTATTTCTATTGTCATTCAGCACAAGGTGGAAGCTGCAAAGACAGCAAGTCTTGTTACACAGATCTAATAAATGATACCTAATGGGGATATTGAGCTTGAAATGGTGCTTTATTTTCAACTTAATATGAAAAAGCATAGGCACAGGGGCTGTGTTAGAACACCTCTGCTGTTCTGAGCTAGCTGTGTAGCAGGATAGGGTATTCTCACGGAGAACAGTGCTACAAGTGCATTAGGTGCCTTATCCCTATTTCATAGATCCGATATCCCTATTTTATAGATCTGATGTTATCAGTCAAGTATCCTGTTTTAGGTTTTCTTTAAGACGTTGGCAAGAAGTGTTTTGTATAGGCTATGTTTGGTTTGCCAGTATCCTGCAAAATTGACTCCTATTTAGGGAAAGCAGGGAGTGAGTCAGGAGAGGA